ATTTATTCCAATAGGCATTTGGTTATTTAATTGCTCTGAGCAGGGTTTTCCTCTACGGCTGCAGGAAAGGTTTGAACTGGATTTGCTATGGGGGCCTGCATGAGGCCCCTCTGGGAGTTTCCCGAAGCCCAAGGCAAAGGGTTACCTTGTCTGTCCCTTGTTGATCTACATTCGTTGATCCAGTGTTTTCCCTTGCCACACCTTCTGCATACTCCAGAAGGAAGGGGCATTCTGCTGCTAGTGTTCCTTGATGAAACATTGTTTCTAGGAATTACATGTCTACAGTCCCTTTTCAAATGTCCTTGCTTTCCACATCCAAAACATCTAATGTTCCTCAAACTTTTTGAAATTGCTTCTCCTACCCATATATCATCATGCTCATGAGCCTCAACATTATCCGTGTCTCTAATCCAATCTTCCAAAGGTGTAGATCTTGCCTTTAACGGCCTGATTATTCTCTTGCATGCTGCATTTGTGTTCTCAAAAGTCAAAGATTCGATTATTATGTGACTGGCTTCTGAATTCGGGACCATTCTCTTTACTGCTGAAGTCAATCTTTGTAAAAAAAAAAAAAATCTGTGAAAGATTCTTTTGGACCTTGTATAACCTTTGTAAATGACTCATTTTCTCCCCCTGTTCCTCAACTCTGTCCCATGCATTCAAGCCTGCCGTTCGACATAAAATTAGGGTTTGGACATGATATAAACATTTTGTTTGTACTGAAGCATATTGGCCTTCTCCAATGAGTTGATCCTGGCAAACTTGTGTTCCTTTATCTCTGCATTGTTTTTCTATGTTTTTAGATTTATCCTTGAACCAAGTTAGCCACTGTAACCTCTGGCTGGGTTCCAGAACAGCTTGTGCCAGCTCCCGCTAGTCCTATGGTATAATCCTATTATAAGTTGACCAAGAGTTTAGCATTTTCTTTACATATGGGGAATGCATGCCATAAGATGCTATTGCCTCCTTAAATCTTCATAAGTCTTACATTTCAATTGGAATCCAAGTAGTTTGTCTAGTCTCTTCACCAGGTAGCTGCTCTACGGCTACCGGATAAATTAAGGGTGATTTTGTGAAAACAGGCTTTCTTTCTGTAAACTTATGATCCAATTTTGAAACAACTTCACTGTTAATATCTTTTTTCTGAATTTTAATTTCTCTATAATTCATTTTTACAGGTTTAACAGGTTTTTCTAAAACAGTTATCCTGGCACTTAAATTGACTATCTTTTTAAATAGTAAAATGAGGATAAGAAAATTTATAAACTGCAGAATTTGATCAATATTAATCTTCTCATATAGCTGTTCTATTGTCAGACTGCCTAAAATTTCAAACAAAGCCCAATTTTTTCCAATATACACATAAAACCCATTTTTTTAAATGTGGAAAAAAATTCTCTTTTAAATAGTTTCCTTTTAAATATTTGATATCTTATCTGACTTACCAAGTCTGCGTAGACCAGTAGAAATCCGAGGGAATTTCAAAACAGCCACCTAGTGTCTGAGGTGTGAATCCAGAGAGAGAGAGCACAAGAAAACGTAGCCACAAGTTTTGGCTAAGAGCTTAAATCCAGCCACATGTTCCCGCTTGAGCCAAGTGAATCCTTGGCTCTGTCTTCCTTAAGCTCTGACCACGTGTGTTGGCTTTACAGGCAGGGGCCCTGTTCGGCATGGCAGGCCTGAGTTGTTTGTAGCACCAGCTTTAAGCAAGTAGCTCCAACTGCGTGTAACCACTTAGGGCTACAGTCAGTCCAGCCTGAGACCAAGCCGACCTGGGCCGGAGCTATGGAGCCTCCCCCCCCCCCCAGGCTCGAAACTGGACCTGCTTCCTAGCCAAGCCTAGCCATTTTTTTTTAAAAAAAAGATTTATTTATTTATTTATTATGTACACAGAAGAGGGCGCCAGATCTCACTACAGATGGTTGTGAGCCACCATGTGGGCGCTGGGAATTGAACTCAGGACCTCTGGAAGAACAGTCAGTGCTCTTAACCTCTGAGCCATCTCTCCAGCCCCCAAGCCTAGCCATTTTTAATGGATTCTTGTCACATTGGGTGCCAAATGTAGATGTAACCAATTTTCTTATTAAATAAGAAACACAGAACCAATGCAAAGAAGAAAGCCAAGAGATCAGATTTAAGAGCCTTACCTGTCTGCTGCAGCTAGCCTCTTCAGCAAAATAGACCTACTTCCTGTGTTTTTGTCTTTATATAGACTTTCTGTTCTGCCTTCTCATTGGTTGTAAACCCAACTACATAACTGCCTCATCACTGCCTGTGTGTACAAACCTCTAGGTCTTCTATGGTTGGTATTGAGATTAAAGGCATGTGTCTCCAATGCTGGTTGTATCCTTGAACACACCTAGCTCTGCCTACCAAGTGCTGGAATTAAAGGCTTGCACCACCTCTGCCCAGCTTTCACTATGGCTCTAATAGCTCTTACCCCCAGGCAACTTTATTTATTAACATACAAATAAGATCACATTTCAATACAAATAAAATATCACCCTATATATAAGCCCAGAACAGTGTAGTTGACTGAGATGCTCTATGTCTAAGTATTTTAAGTAGCTGCACAAGTCTTTGAAAATTACTCTGTGTAATAAACAGAAAGACAAAATCCCTGAGTTTCCTCTCACAGATAGAATCTTTGCAGAGATGAAGCATAGCTCTTTTATTTCTTGAGTTGTGTTGTTGTTGTCCTTGTTGTTTATAACAGGTCTGGTGTAGCTAGGCTTACTCTGAATTCATTGTATATTCAAAGATGACATTTTGTAATCTGATTATTCTGTCTCATTAGCCAGCCCCCAAATAACTATACAGAGACTTATTATTAATTATATAAGCTGACTTAGGCTTATTGCTATCTAGCTCTTACAGCTTAAATTAATCAATTTTTACCAATACATTTTGTCTTGTGGCTTTATTAACTTTATACTGCCCATGTTGCTTCCCCTCCATCTGGCTGGAGACTCCCTGAGTCTCCCCCTTCTTCTCAGCATCTTCTTTGCTTTGGGGAAGGTACCATTCACCATGACAGAGAAAGCATGGTTGAGTTCAGAACAGCTGGAGCATGTGGCTGGGATGTGTTGTGTCTCAGAGGATAATGAAACAGAGAGTGGGATGCTGCTTCTCATCTGGCTTTCTCCTTTCCCCAGATCAAAGGATGGTACCATCTACACTCAGGGTGGGTCTTCCCACCTCAGTTACTCCTCACAAGAAAGATCCTCACAGACACCCAGAACTGCATCTCCCAAGGGATTCTAAATCCAGTCAAGCTGACAAGAATAACCATCACAGCTACATAGTGGGTTCAAAGCGAGCATGGGAGAAGAGGGGGATCTGGCCACAGCAGTGCATGCCTTTATTCAGGAGTCAGATGCAGGTGAATTTCTGTGAGTCCCAGGAGAGTCAGAGCTATATAGTAAGACCCTACCTTGATAAAGAAAACAAAACAAAAAATAAAAGGGCAGGGAGTATGTCTTGGGCTCCATGATTAGTAATCTAAATGATGGATCTAGAAAGAGGCCTGAGTATTTTTGAACAAGATTTGTGACCACTGATTGTAGTAGGAGTAGAGTAAATATGTAGCAGGAATCTTAAAAGTTCTTATTAATAAAATCAAACCCGAGGCGAGTTATTGGGGTCCATGCTGGTAGATCAGAGAGACAGAACAAGCCACAGCTATCTCACCTTGCCAATTCCTCAGCTGGTCCTGTTTCCTCAGACTGGAAGCT